GAAAAGATGTTCATTTCGAGGGGACAACGACTAAATAAAAATGAAGTTTGCAACAAGCTACTGGCTCCAGCAAAGTTGCAATAGGCATACTTTATCATGCAAGATCCCAAAGACTTGCACAGGAGGTTATGGTACACAGACCACTGTGTAACAGCCAGGATTCTGTTCTTGCTTTGTAATCCATTGAACAGTGATTAGGAACGTGTGAACAGTACACACTTCCGGTCAGGCAAGGGTGATACAATGGTCATTGCCGTTCTGTTGAGGCCGGGGTGAGGTGAGGTCAAGGTGGAGGGAAGGGGTCACCTGAGTGGCGCTGGGGGGTCACCTGATTGGCGCTGGGGTCACCTGAGCGTCACTAGGGGTCACCGGAGCGAGCCACGTGGTCTCCTTTCTGGTAAACCCCCCTCCCCCCCCAACCCACTGTGTAAACTGCTTCCTTTCTTCCCACTGTGTATACCTGACCCTTTCTACCCCCCCTCCATCCCCCCCCCTGACCAAACACTGGGCACGCGCCCCCCCCCCCCCTCACCCCTTAACACCCTTGGTCCCACTCCCCCCTCAACTCCCTCCCGCTTAATGCTGTTCCCGGATGATTGGGACACACTAACCGAAGTGTATCTCGGAGCCTCCCGCAGTGTACGGCGGTTAATACAAATATTTCTTAAAACTCTTTTGTGTATAGTGTATTTACTGATTGTGGGAATGATTGTGGTGTTTACGACCGACGCCGTGGTGGTGGTGGTGTGGGTGGTAGAGGGGGGGGGGGTCGTGGTGGTGGTGGTAGAGGGGGGGTCGTGGTGGTGGTGGTGGTGGTGGTGGTAGAGGGGGGGGTCGTGGTGGTGGTGGTGGTAGAGGGGGGGGGGGTCGTGGTGGTGGTCGTGGGTGGTGGTGTGGTGGTGGAAGAGGAGGGTGGTGGTGTTGGTGCTGTGGAGGGCAGTGGTGGAGGAACCAGCAGTAGTGGTGAAGGACACGTCCGTAAACAGTTTACAAGAGATTCAACACTATCCAGACACTGCAAGTCTACACACACACACACACACACACCCCACTATAGTTGACTAGAGTTCGTGTCTTCGACCCAAACAGTCTTCGAGTGCCACACTCACCAAACACAACAAAATGCCTCGCCTATCGCCTTCAACACCATTTGGAGACGGCGCCGACATGCAAATATTAGCGGGACTGGTCTCAAATGTGCAAACTGAAATCATTCTATTTCTAGACCAGGAGGCATGGCAGGAGGTGCAAAATAACCCCCCAGTTGAAAAGCAGAGGTGCAATAGGCACGCTGAGGGGCTCTTCTATATACATTACGTGCCCAAGACTTTTCAACACACTGCTTCAATAATATTAGGGGTCATAACTTACCTACTTCTGTTGGTAGTTTTGAGAGGGTACACGATAAACACCGCCAAGGAAGGGGGGGTACCTGATCAACCCGCCTGTGGTGATCCCTGCGTCATACTGTATACAGCCTCCCATCCTGATTGTCCGGTCTGTGGCGCTCATCAGCCTGATTGACTATATCGTCAACCATGAGGCTGGTGAACAGAACACCCAAGTCTTTACACATTCTCCCACCACCACACACTCAAGTTAACTTTGATTCACTCAGGTTTACTCTCACTCAGGTTTACTTTGACTCAGGTTCACCTGTAGTCTGAGTCCGTCCAGAGGAAGATGCCTCACATGCTGGAAGCTCCAAACTTTCAGAATAAAATTACAAAATGGTAAATGGAGAGAGAAACTGAGAAGTGCAAAATACATCTCGTGTAAAGTTAGGGCGCCATGAACACAATTAGAGAACACAGTTTACCTGGAGACTCTAGAATCCAGGTAAACTGTGTAGACTCCAGAGGCCCGCCACTCTCCAGTCAGCAAATATAAGAAAGGATGAGCTGGAACAATATTGGAAGATTTCAAGACCTAAGTTGACATGTTTCTGTTGGAGCTGCCAGATCAACCTGGCTGTGGTGGGCCTTCTGGCTATTAAGACAAACTTCCTCACAGACCAGACAATCACCAGGGAAGGCTGGCCAGAGCCCAGCCAACCGTCAACGGGTCACATATAAGCAACAGATACCTGTTTGATACCTGGTTGATGGGGTTCTGGGAGTTCTTCTACACCCCAAGCCCGGCCCGAGGCCAGGCTTGACTTGTGAGAGTTGGGTCCAACAGGCTGTTGCTTGGAGCGGCCCGCAGGCCCACATACCCACCACAGCCCGGTTGGTCCGGCACTCCTTGGAGGAAACAATCTAGTTTTCTCTTGAAGATGTCCACGGTTGTTCCGGCAATATTTCTTATACTCGCTGGGAGGACGTTGAACAACCGCGGACCTCTGATGTTTATACAGTGTTCTCTGATTGTGCCTATGGCACCTCTGTTCTTCACTGGTTCTATTCTGCATTTTCTTCCATATCGTTCACTCCAGTATGTTGATATTTTACTGTGTAGATTTGGGACCTGACCCTCCAGTATTTTCCACGTGAATATTATTTGATATCTCTCTCGTCTCCTTTCTAGTGAGTACATTTGGAGCTTTGAGACGATCCCAATAAATTAGCTGCTTTATCGCGTCTATGCGTGCCGTATATGTTCTCTGTATTCCCTCCATTTCAGCAATCTCTCCTGCTCTGAAGGGGGAAGTGAGTACTGAGCAGTACTCAAGACGGGACAGCACAAATAACTTGTATAGTTTTACAAGGTAAAACAAGTATTTGACAAGTTTTATGAAGGCATTTTAAAAATTTTAGCTATTGACGACGTAGGGAACCCCCCCCCCCCTCCTCCAACCCCCAGGACCATCCCTAAACGACCCGTTTAGGGATGGTCCTCTTGGAAGCATCTGGGAACCAGTAGGGGGGGGGGGGATGGGGCAGCTGTGGCTTAGGGCTGGTTGGAACAGCTGGGAGCCGGGGGGGGGGAGGGGGGGGAGGGGGGAGCAGCAGCAATAGCATCATCAGGCACATAATCGTTCCCTTCATCTCGGGGCGTCGACCATGTGATCGGCGCCCTAACACCCGGAAGCTGGTACTTTGAGCCAGTAGGAGAGGAGGATCTTAATGACTGCTGGGTCGCGGGCCAGCCCCCCCCCGGGGGCACGCCTCCCCTTGGATGAAGCATGGGGTGCCCCATGGGTAAAGCATGGGGTCCCCCTCTGTTAGAACACGTCCACCAATAACCCTGGGGTAAGGGGCAGCGCCACACGTGCACCCATCATGCTCGGCCGAACACGTGTTTCCTCACACTTCCTTCATAAAATCACTCACTCACTCATTCCATTCATGAATTGATTGCCTCACCCATCGACTCCCCAACCCTCACTCACTCACCCACAATACCACCACACACACACACACACACACACATCACTAAGCTCACCCACACACACATGAGAACTACTAAAATGTTAGTGAATAGCCAATATGAAAAACTAAAACCCGTACAGGAGACCCTAAGCTGCAGACTAGAGTCCCTCGTACATCAAGCACAGTAATGTAGAGGTCCGTCCGTGAGACAAGAGGCTGGTAGAACATCTGGAGGAGCTTTATAAATCCCAACTATAAATAAATAACTATAACTATACAACTATAAATCCCATAAATAACAACTATAAATCCCAACATTCAGGGGTTCAGAGAGGTCAAATATTTCCCCATAAAGATGATCAAATCCAATGACCGGGCGACTGCGATTAAACAAAACAAAAAGGTGGACACGTTTTGGGACTGTCAGAAAGAATTCCATTAGACTAAGTTGGAAAAACTGGCAGGAAAGGTGATCTAGTGGACACAAGGGAGTACCTAAGCAGTGGAAGATAGAGAGACACAGTGAGAGGAGCCACCAGCGGGATCCCAAAGGGCCAAGCATTACACCCAATCGTGTTCCTGATATATGTAAATGATCCCTTAATGTTTGCTGATGACACAACAATGAGGTTAAAGACAACGGAGGACTGGCAGACACTTCATGAAAACTTCGACATACTGGAAGAATGTTCCAAGTGGTCGCTGGAGTTGTACGGAGACAAGAACTGTCGCTCCCAGCAAGTCCCAAGACTGTTGCCAGCCGACACAACTCTCCTTCCTGCCATCATCACACATTAAGTGACCACGTTAGCCTTAATTACGTGAGAGATGTAGTGGTGAGTGGCAGCTGTAGTGACACTATTGAAGGAATATGTGGCGATACAGGTCAATATTGAGTTGCCATGACACGAGTGGTGAGAGAATAGCAGGTATGACAACAGCCACACACACACACACACAACACTGGGAACGTCACGTGGGACAATCACCACCACTACCAGCTCCCCTACCACTACCAGCTCCCCAACCACCACCACCACTACTCTGTATCCAGTGACACCTGCTCACGGCCGAGGTGCACCTCAATACACTGGAGTCACGCGACTCTAGAGTGCAACTACCTCTTACTCCCTCCTGGGGAGAAGGCTTTAAGGGCGAGGTAGTGTCTTCGAGGGTGAGGAGCTGGAGATTTTGAGAAGGAAATTGGAGGCTTAGAAAACCTAGCAGGGACATCGAGAACGAGGTGGAGACATCGAGGACAAATTAGGGCTTCGAGGGCCAGGTGAGTTTTCACGAAGCTGTTTCAGAGCTATGATAGCAAACTGGGTGATTCGAGAACAAGATTAGAGTTTCGAGGACAAGGTAGGAGTTTAGAGGACGAGGTAGGAGTATCGAGGACGAGGTAGGAGCTTCGAGGACGAGTTGAGACGCCAATCACGAGGCTGGGCTCTAACTTGGGGGACGCGATGGGGGATTCCGGGAACGGTTTAGGGACTTCAAATCGCCCAGGTCAGAGGTGAAATGAAGGGATTAGCGATAAAGTCATGGCGATGCATTAAATTGTCTTACAGGCCACGTCCACACACGACCCTTCCCTCAGCCGTGATAGATGGTTGATCTGTACCTGAGAGAGAGAGAGAGAGAGAGAGAGAGAGTGAGAGTGAGTCAGTCTCCCCCATATCAAGCAGCATGTCTCCGCGACGTGCTGACGTGCCGAGGGTGAGAGCACGAGCAAGAGCACACGAGGGGTCAAGGGTGCAGTGATAAAGGTGGAGGTGTGGCCGCAGGTGCTCCACACTGGCCACTGTCATGCCCACACAACCACACATAAAGGGCCACCAACCCTCTGCAGCAGTGGCCGTCAACCCACCAACAGTGAGATGGTGAGGAGCGGTCATGGAACAGTGACGAGTGCTCAGACGAGGACGATTGGGAAGACTGTAAGAGAGGAGGCGAGGCGTAAGACTCCCCCCAGACGGGGCAGGGAATGGTGCACACCCCTCAAGTAGGAGGGACGGGCCAGGGGGAGGGGGGGGGGACAGAGGGACCAGTGAGGCCAGACAATGGGCTCGGCCCCCATCATGGGGGCTAGAGAGGGAGGGCAGGGCACAGAGGGAGGGAGAGAGAGCGAGAGAGAGGGAGAGAGAGAGAAAGAGCGAGCAGCCCCATTCTTCAGTGTTGGTATTACTGATAGGAAGGATGAGGACCATATATGTACTGACGTACAACAGTTAGAAAGTACAAATCGGTACTATTGAATTTGGACACGCCGGAAAACGATTTTCTACTGTTGCAAAGACAACCTAACCTGACCTTCCTAGGCCTAACACACTATCAGAGGCCTAATATACTACATATATGCGCTATACGAGGCCTAGGAAGATTGAAGTTGATTTTTTAGCTCCGTTTTTTCCAGACTATAAAGTGAATAGTACAAATTATACTATCTAATTTCAAATTAATTGAGGGAGGGAGGGAGAAAGATTGAGGGAGGGCCACGAGAGGCGAGGGAGGGAGGGAGAAAGATTGAGGGAGGGCCACAAGAGGCGAGGGAGGGAGGGAGGGCCACGAGAGGCGAGGAAGGGCCACGAGAGGCGAGGAAGGATAGGAGAGGAGAGGGGACAAGTGGGAGGGAGGAGCAGGGTCGTCCCTGGACAGGTCAACGCCAAGAATAATTTGGTTAGAAAGGGAGGAGGTGGATGGCAGGAGGCGCGGCCGTGCTGGACAGTATCTGAATACTGAGAGTAAAGATGGAATGTAAGACATAAACGACGATTAATTAAACTTGGAGAGAGAGAGAGAGGGGGGGGGGAGAGAGAGAGGGAGAGAGAGGGAGAGGGGAGAGAGAGGGAGAGGGAGAGGGAGAGGGAGAGAGAGGGAGAGGAGAGGGAGAGAGAGGGAGAGGAGAGAGAGAGAGAGAGGGAGAGAGAGAGAGAGAGAGAGAGAGAGAGAGAGAGAGAGAGAGAGAGAGAGAGAGAGAGAGAGAGAGAGAGAGAGAGAGAGAGAGAGAGAGAGAGAGAGAGAGAGAGAGAGAGACTAAATACCTTCAAATCTAATGCAATCCGTACCGATGATGATACTCTTCAAGACGCTAGTGCTCTCTAGAGTGGAGTACTGCTGCACAATGACAGCCCCTTTCAAAGCTGGAGAAATTGCTGACCTGGAGAGCGTGCAGAGATCCTTTACTGCTAGAATCCACTCAGTAAAACATCTAAACTATTGGGACCGACTAAAATGCCTAAATCTGTATTCTCTTGAGCGCAGGCGGGAGAGATACATAATAATTTATATGTGGAAAATAGTAGAGGGGCTGGTCCCAAACCTGAACACAGAAATAGCCCCACATGAGACCAGAAGGCATGGCAGGATGTGCAGAATACCCCCGTTGAAGAGCAGAGGTGCAACAGGTACTCTGAGAGAGAACTCTATCAACATCAGAGGCCCGAGACTGTTCAACACGCTTCCACTACACATAAGGGACATAACTGGCCGACCCCTCACAGTGTTCAAGAGAGAACTATCAACATCAGAGGCCCGAGACTGTTCAACACGCTTCCACTACACATAAGGGACATAACTGGCCGACCCCTCACAGTGTTCAAGAGAGAACTATCAACATCAGAGGCCCGAGACTGTTCAACACGCTTCCACTACACATAAGGGACATAACTGGCCGACCCCTCACAGTGTTCAAGAGAGAACTATCAACATCAGAGGCCCGAGACTGTTCAACACGCTTCCACTACACATAAGGGACATAACTGGCCGACCCCTCACAGTGTTCAAGAGAGAACTATCAACATCAGAGGCCCGAGACTGTTCAACACGCTTCCACTACACATAAGGGACATAACTGGCCGACCCCTCACAGTGTTCAAGAGAGAACTATCAACATCAGAGGCCCGAGACTGTTCAACACGCTTCCACTACACATAAGGGGCATAACTGGCCGACCCCTCACAGTGTTCAAGAGAGAACTATCAACATCAGAGGCCCGAGACTGTTCAACACGCTTCCACTACACATAAGGGACATAACTGGCCGACCCCTCACAGTGTTCAAGAGAGAACTATCAACATCAGAGGCCCGAGACTGTTCAACACGCTTCCACTACACATAAGGGACATAACTGGCCGACCCCTCACAGTGTTCAAGAGAGAACTATCAACATCAGAGGCCCGAGACTGTTCAACACGCTTCCACTACACATAAGGGACATAACTGGCCGACCCCTCACAGTGTTCAAGAGAGAACTATCAACATCAGAGGCCCGAGACTGTTCAACACGCTTCCACTACACATAAGGGACATAACTGGCCGACCCCTCACAGTGTTCAAGAGAGAACTATCAACATCAGAGGCCCGAGACTGTTCAACACGCTTCCATTACACATAAGGGACATAACTGGCCGACCCCTCACAGTGTTCAAGAGAGAACTATCAACATCAGAGGCCCGAGACTGTTCAACACGCTTCCACTACACATAAGGGACATAACTGGCCGACCCCTCACAGTGTTCAAGAGAGAACTATCAACATCAGAGGCCCGAGACTGTTCAACACGCTTCCACTACACATAACGGGCATAACTGGCCGACCCCTCACAGTGTTCAAGAGAGAACTGGATAAACACCTCCAAAGGATACCTGATCAACCAGGCTGTGACTCATACGTCAGGCTGCGAGCAGCCGCGTCCAACAGCCTGGTTGATCAGCCCTCGGGGCAAAATTTAAAAAAAAAATAAAATGGAACGGTCGACGTGGAACAGGAAGATAAAGAAAGGCAAGAGACTGGAGCAGGAAGAGAGAGAAACATAAAGGTATCTTCATCACCAGTGCAAGGCACCAAGGCCGGCCTTGAGCTAGGCACCAAGGTCAGTGTCAAAGAGACACCAAACTCACTGTGTGCCACAGACGAGAGCCCTGCCACCGACCCACCCAAACAAGGCACCAACTCACTGAAAACACCAAAATATTCCCATCTGCAGAGACCCGGTAACTACCAGTATTGCCTCCCAGTAACCAGCCCCCCCCCCCTCACTGTGTGCAATTTTATATATATTATTTAATATATATTATATATATATATATATATATATATATATATATATATATATATATATATATATATAAAAGTACCACCTCTAGCTGGAAGAAGGGGGACCCATAGCCTCTGAGGAAACCACGCATAACGCATTAGAGGGAATGTTTAGATCCCTCCAATACAGTTTCTGTGTGCTTTTCTCCTACCACCCCCTTCCTTGAATATTTTTTGTGCTTTATTATGCATTTGATGGTTACAAGATATACATGAGTTGATACAAAAATAATATATATATATATATATATATATATATATATATATATATATATATATATATATATATATATATATTTGATAATTCGAACATCTTTTTAATTAAAATATTTACTTTTCAATTGATACAATAACATTTCGAATACTCATTAGTATTCACCATCAGACCTTAAATACAGAAAAATCGAATTAAAATTAACAGAGAACGTGTACTAGGAAACACGATTAGTCTTAAGAGAGATGAAAACGGTTTTTACAATATACAATAAAAAACAAACAATTAAAAACATACTAAAATCAACTTAGAGAACGATCACACAAAATAGAACTGCACATCTATCAATATTGATAATAAGGACTAAATAAAAAAATTACAATCAAGATTCTAAAGATTCAAAGATTCTATGCAAGACAAACATTAAATCAATCATTACCGAATTACCCATTTCACACATTATCAAGAAATATAAATATTATAAAATAATAGATACCCAATTATTATATTCAGTATCACAATTAATTTAATTAATTAAAACAAAATAAAATTATGAGGCCCGTAATACTTAAAAAGAAAATAGAGCACCAAAAACACAAATCAAAGGGGAGACTAAACAATTAGTCTCCGGTAATTTAGAACCTTAAACAATTAAGATTCAAGTCTCGCATTATCAAACTTGATTGATTAGTTACACCCCCTAGTGCTTTGGAACTTGATCTTCCTTCCCCGCTCTTGAACTTCCTTAAGTCGGTGGCGACTTAAAACCCTGATAATATTGAATATAAATATTATATTTAATATAAGTATTAGAAATGACATGAACCGTCTCTCTTGCATTACGGAGAGTGCAACTGGGATATCAGGAGTGCAACGCTTCTGCAACTGGGATATCAGGAGTGCAACGCTCCCGCAACTGGGATATCAGGAGTGCAACGCTTCTGCAACTGGGATATCAGGAGTGAAACACTTCTGCAACTGGGATATCAGGAGTGCAACACTTCTGCAACTGGGATATCAGGAGTGCAACACTTCTGCAACTGGGATATCAGGAGTGCAACACTTCTGCAACTGGGATATCAGGAGTGCAACACTTCTGCAACTGGGATATCAGGAGTGCAACACTTCTGCAACTGGGATATCAGGAGTGCAACACTTCTGCAACTGGGATATCAGGAGTGCAACACTTCTGCAACTGGGATATCAGGAGTGCAACGCTCCCGCAACTGTGATATCAACGACACTCACCACGTAGACGGCAATCGAGGACTTAAGTGCTTGCTTGGAAGCCTGAGTTCCTAAAGTGTTAACATTACTTGGGGGGGTGACGGGCCGGGCCGGGCCGGCCGCTGTGGAGGTGACCGCTAGGCCGACCACCGCCCAGGTGTTACCACCACCACTACCACCA